TCAAGATAAACATTTTGCCCGGCATCAAAGTAGAAGCGATCTGTTACCTGGCTGTAGCGTGTCTGCAGGCCATGGCGTCTAGGTGGTGTGTGAGGCCGAATTACTGTAGTACTGACTGGCAGACGCGCCGCGGTAGGCGGTATATCCGGGGAATCAGGCGCTGTCCGATAATCTTATGCAAGATGCGACAGATTCCTCAATATGCGCCCCACTCTAGGTTAACTCTTCCATTACTGTTTCCCCTCTCCCCACGTGAGCAAATTAATAGGCTCTACAATTACCAGCTCGCAGGCCAGTTAATTATAAATCTATCTGTGTGTCTATCTGTCTATCTACCTATCTATGTATCTATCTACCTATCTACTTCCTGTTGCTCCCACTTGAAGCACAGGACATCCGTGAAAAGTTTCGTTTCACTTCAGTGTCTTAATCTTAGACAGTCAGCAGGACTCCTTGGACGAGGGATCAGCCCGACGCAAGGCTGCTACCTACACAGGACATGAACATAGAATAAACATAGAAAGATATCCATGCCTTGAGAGGGATTCGAAACCACGATCGCAGTGTTCGTGCGGGCGAAAACACTTCATGCCTTAGGCCGCGCGGTCACCGTGATCCGCTGATCGTAAATACTTCTATAGTATTGGCAGAAGGCTTTGTGCGTCAGTACGAAACGCAGGTATTCTCATTTGTCTTGTGAATTATCTGGTAACGGAACCGGAGGACTCAACATTGTTATTACCAAACACAAGATCCTAAGCGATCTCCACGCACTAGCACCCTAATATCCATCTTAATGTTACTATGCCTTCTGAATGTCCCATTCTAAGAGAACTTCCTACGGTAAATCCTGTATGAAGCTGAACCTCGTACTGCACGCAATTAAATATAAACGGTAGGGAGATTCAAGTAAGCATCGAATGCCAGAAGTGGAAAACCTAGCTTACGCTGAGCGGACGACTGTAGAAAAGGATTAGTGAAATTCTGAACCCCTCTTTACACGACTATCATCAGTTACAAGAAAGCATTCATTGCTTCACTGGAAGCTGATTTGATAACTCTTCCACTCTCGCAACCCACAGCGCCCAGACCGGCTCCGGAAGCCACCCAGCTTACTATCCAATGGGTGCCAGGGGCTATTTCCCCGGGGGTAAAGCTGACCACTCACCTCTATCTACTGCCGAGGTCAAGAATGGTGGGGCTATAATTCCAATTCTCCGTCTTCATGGCGTGAAATGTATTTCAATAAGAACAAGAACTTTAACTTTACCTTCTACTGTTCAAACTTTAATCTTTTGCGAAAGATCGAGGCATCACATGAACCAAGCTCATGAGAATTTCCTCCATTGGCGATAAATAAGAGGCCAGCATTTTATCATCATTTACGCGGCCTGCGTTAACGTTCATTTTATAGGCTTCGTGCATGAGGCATTGCTTTAAGAATACGATTAGCTCCAAGAGCCCCTGGGACTTTAAACTCTATTACAGCGCAATAATAGCTAATTATCAGAATTTCACTTGTGTGCATTGCTGTACATTTGCTGTAGCCGGAATTTCCGAAATGACACAATTTTCCATAAAAAGGAAAGCGACAAAGAAGTTTCCGCTCTCTCTATAATAGATATGTAAGCCAGGCTACAGACTTATCTACATAAAACTGATTCCTCGCATGATCCTTCCTATGAAGGAGTTGGAACTTTTCACAGCACAAAATGTTTTTATGTGCTTGTATATTATACTTCATTCCACCCTGTTCCGAGAGAAATTTAAACGTTAAAGACGATTTGATTAACCTGGTCCTTTTCATATCTTACCTTGATCCCTCCCACCCTTTGTAAGTGTCAGCTTCGATGTTCCCCTCTCATATCTGTTAGCAATTTCTAAGCAATTTAACCAAGACCAATCCTTTAAATGCTATCGGCAGAATCGTTGAACAAAAAGGAAGATGATCTCCACCCTATCCTTATGATAAGCATTCAAGAAAATTTTATAAACCAAAATCGAAGGTTTACGCATTCACAATCCAAAACGTCCCCTTTACTCTGGGGTACAAATCTCCTGTAATCAAATCAACTTAACGAACAACTCCTTTCAGTGTAAGATCTGAAGCTTTCACTGAGGTTGAAGTTAATAAAATCTTCTCGGGCTATGAGTCGTGTCAATTAGTTAAAAATTATCGGCGTTTCAGGGACCATCCCTGTGCCCCCATCGTCAGGCTATCCTGACATATCTGATAGCCCGAGAAAATCTTATTAATTGCCCCAAAGTTGTCTACCGATGGCAAAGCTTTGTTGTTTCTCAAGTCAGGTTATCAGAACCATCAAATACGTCACAGAAAATTGGGTTGTCACTTCTGAATTTCAGGACAGATGTTTTTCATATGCAGCATATGGAGCAACGAAATTTTGCGCGCACACACACACAAAATACAGTACCTAAGGACCTCCAATTTATATTATTTTTCACTAAATTAACTATCATAACAAGAGTATTGCTAAGCTTACAGGCACGTCTGCAAATCACTAAGAGCTAATTGTTACAGAAATATTATGTTGTTCTGTGATCAACTGATCCACTGCAGAGAAAGAACTTAAAATTTTATTCAACGAACTTATAAACATTCCACTGTAACATAAAAGATATCAAGTATATATAATATTTGGATTTTATGATTACTCACTGAAACTTGAAGTACTTGGAAATCCAGAAATTCCCCAATTATGATCAAAGTCGACCAGAGTCTGGACACAGCACTCAGTCTCCTGAGACCCCGATTAAAAAACCAGAGTTGTTGCAACCCTGGTCCTCACAAGGCTCACAAGATATTTCCAGGACAAAGCAAGACGATGAAATAGGAGATAATCCCGAGTGTGAAAGTTGATTGTTATCATAGATGCTGATGTTTAGATCAGAAGAGCATTAAACACAGCCAAGCTACTGTCAGTTGGTTGTTACTATCATAAAGGTGGTAAAACCGATCACGATATTACACATCTGCATTCGACTGTTTCGTGACAAATTATTACACTGCTAATGTGTGACTGGCCTCAAGACATTGTATTCATGAAGCCATAACTCAGTTAATAAGGAACATCCTTCTTCCACACTTTGCAGAATGTTTTTATGATGATCAGCATGGCTTAAACACGCAGTTTCAGGATAAGCACTGCAGCCTTGTCTGCAGAAGGCCGATTCTCACACTGCCAATGAAATATTTATATTTGTGCAAGGTTAGTGTGAGTCCTCTTGGTATGCTGGCCATTACTAGGCCTATAGTACCAGTCCCGAATGATAAATGAGTGAGGAACAACTAATGGAATGAGTAATGGTAGTGCAGACTTTGAGTACTCAGCAGAAACCAGCCACAGTGCCACTTTGTCAGCCACAAATCCCACATGGGATCGAGCCCGGGCCTTGGTGGTGGGAAGCCAGTGACTAACCGCACGATCTAAGGCTCTGCCCTGAACGTATGTCTAATTTTCTGAAGCATACTCTCATTGGGTAATTGCATTCATCATATGAGTTTCAGTTGCACTGTTTTACAACTCAGCAGGTCTAAATTTCTAAAGACAAAAATATTCACTCTTACGGCGTCCATGATGCTGTCGCTTATTCTAAACTGAAATTCAGGTCAATGTCTGAGAGGTTATGCTCGTAGTGGACCATGCACAATTTCATTTACAGACTTGGGCCATAGTGAAGAACTCTGCAACAGATTAAAACCACCGTCAGCCACTATGTGTAATATGGAACCGGAGGCTAAGACTCCGGATTGATGGCAAGGTTAAAACCTAGCATCAGTGGGTGAAAAATGTTGTAACTCTGGGGATTTGATCTACCTCAAAATCTTTCAACTTGGTCAAAAACGTGACCCACTGTCAGGGAAGTTACATATTTCTGTAAAAAAAAAAACGCAAAATGTTGTACCAAAGAGCTGGGATAGCTCAATCGGTACAGCAATGGGCTGGATGACGGGTCTGATTCCTGGTAGGGTTAAGATTTTTCTCCCTTCATAGCATTCAGGCCAACTCTGGGGCCCACCCAGCATCCTATGCAATGGGTACTGGCACTGTTTCCCCTGGGGTAAAGCTGACCAATCACCTCAATCTAGTACTGAAGTCAAGGTTCCCCATATGTCTTCACGTTGCATTTCTGAATTAAGCACTTGGTTGTGCCATGGTGTACATCAATATGATGCTATTAATGAATACACCTACACACCATTCCAAATGGGCTAAAAATTGGTTATGTGAAAACAATAAACATGATCATACACCTTTTATAAAAAGAACAAGCAACCTCAGTAGTAGGTGCCACCTCAGTTGTGACCAGTTCTAATTCAGAGTGTGTGTGTCTGTTGAGGGGGAGATATATATAAGAAATATGTTTAAAGTTTCTGAAGAAATCTGAATGGATCTGGTCTGGCATGCCATCTGCATATAGACACAAAATTACCCCCATATATCAGGATGAGGATCCAAAACTGTTGGAATTACTCTGCATGTATGCCTGCCTACTGATAAAGATGGCAGTGTGTTGATTTCTTAATTCATGCCACTTTGAATCAATTTCATTTTACTGTCACAGATATATTAAATATACTGACGCTGATCATTCTGAGCCCTTATTTATTTGGATGATTATTGATGAACCTGAAATTTATTTCTAATTAATTCTCCGTAATTTTAAATTTCAAAAGTCTTATGTTTCGATATTACTGGAAATGTATTGTGATCTTTAATATCGTATNACCGTTCCGACTGCGCCGATACAAGTAAAGGCGAGAGGAAAAGAGCGGTGTTAATACCTCCACTCCCACATACGTGTTCATGGCATGGGGCTTCATTAATTCGGTATATGGATAATTAGGAACACAGCTCATCGGATCCACTTCTAAAATGTACTGTGAGATGGATATTTCCTAGAAGATATATAAGGTTTAGGGCAAGGAAGACTAAATTAAAGATCTGAATAGCAGTCTATATAATAAAATAACTATATGAAGAAATAAATATTGTATACTAATGTTCTTATTTTTCATATGGCAAGATAAGTGTATATACATCACAAGAAATCCTTAGTGTAGAAACATTACACATCCAACTCCCTCATCTTCACAGCTGCTCCATTTAGAGCTGTATTATGGAAATACAACATAAGATTATGAAACAGGAATTAGCATAAGAATCAGCAGGCCATTACATCCTCTGCTGCCTCTTTCTTTGTGATAACACTCGTCTGTTATGATTTCCATGACTGGCCTTATGCACATTTTTGTGCTCTCTGTTAATAAGAACTTCCTTCTGTTGCCCCTGACCTTTGGGGCCTCCTGCAACAAACATTACACACACAGCTCGATAAGAGAAGCATTCATGAAATTTAGTCTGTATAAAACAAAATAATAAATATACAGAACCACCTATCTGCATAAATTGTTTAGTGGTTACTGTATTGCTTGTTCCAAAGTATTAAACTGCTGGAATTTTGAAGCCAATATTTTCAAAATGCAAAATTTTCAAACTTTTGATAAGAAAAATTAAGCGTCAACATATATTCTTCATCACATCCCCTTTCAACAGAAATTTCTGTAGATGATTTAATATTAAGTCAGTAAAACATTCCACACTATTCAAGCCTAATCAAAATAAAAAAATACATTTTCCCAAACATAAACAGTGCACTAGTTTTCTCTCCCAATCTGCACTAAGTCAGAGAACAGTTACCTTAAGATATTCAGTTACATGAGTAGCCAGTTAACAATGATAACATATTGTAATATTCACAGAATAACAATTTAAAGATATAGAAAAATTTCAAATTAGGAATGTTTCTAAATTCTAAGTGCATTTCTCAAGTGTGATATCTTTCATTCCAGCCAGGCTTTGACATCCAACTGTTCCATACACATATCTTAAAGATTTTGTTCTCTTCTTGGTTAATTTAATAAACCTGTATCAGCTACATAGGTTACGAAAAGTGGCCTCCATAGTCTAGGGGTAACGTTCCCACCTCATGACTCAAGGTAAGCGGGTTCAAACCCGGCGGAGGTTGTGGAATTTTTAAGGGCGGAAAAATTCAGGGAACAAGTCCTCCGGGAGGGACTTTAAGCCGTGGGTCCCGTGTTGAAGATTTATGGCACGTAAAAGATCCTCATGTCTCTAGGAGACCCCTGAGCAAAATTAGGCAACAATTTCCCACCCAAGTAGTTTCCAATGCCTCTGGTAGATTGGGGAAATATCAGGTACCGACGGCCGACCTCGTTGGCTGAACGGGGCTGATAGCATGCACCAGTACCGGTAGGCTATGGCGACAGTAGAAATTNCATTTGCCTGGACAGACACACATCAGGTAGTAATCTCTCCAGGTGAAGACACGAATGAACCAAGGGCCTACTGAATATGAAGCAGGAATTCTAACTATGACTTTGCAATGTCTGATTATGCACTACAGAACGACCTAGCATAAACCAGCCCAAAGAATGAAAGCATCCCCTGCAACTTTTCATGCTTAGGATATAGGTTGTCACTTGCCAGAGTCGTCAGTTTCCTTGTGCTGGTTAAGAGGTGTCAAAATTGCAATATATGTACCTAAACAACTTTTACTGTAGAGTGTTACCAGCCATACTGAACATATTGCAACAGAGGGCCATATTTTAAACTGGTCAGACAAAAATGTACAACCTCAATTTCAAAAAAAAAATTCACCCCAAGATGCTGGTGTGAAAGTTACTCTCTGAATGCAACAGTTTAAGCAAGACGAGGCTGCAGGTCATACACCCACTGACATGCTTCAAAAGGCTCTATCATAGTGCCTAACTTCTATAGCACCAAATTCCCCCACCTTTCACATGCCACAAATCTCACACTGTCAAGACTTTCTTCATCTTGTCACTGTCATTTTATGTAATTTTAGGGTGTAAAAATGAATTATAGAAATAAAAGAGTACTTACTTACTTACTTACTCATGAAGCTGAGCCCTCCTGGAGAAGCCGCCAATTCTGCAGCTACTCAAGAATTGCCCAGCATTCTATGGAACCCGAAGGTTCATTTCCGTGTTCACAAGAGCCATCCACTGGTCCCTATCCTGAGCCAGATCAATCCAATCCATCCCATCCTATCTTTCTAAGTACTTAGGCCTGCTTTATATTTTATTCTACGTTATACACGGAATTACGGCAGCACCCAAGGGTATAATCTGCTTTAAAAATATTCAACATTCACACACCAGCAACATCTCTATCCTTAGGACCAGAACCTCTCCAGACCCTGCCACGAGATTGCATCTTCTGCTGTCGGCGTTGCTCAGCTTTAGCTCTCTGCTCCTCTGGATTTGGTACGAACTCATCCCGTGGTGGCCCTGCTTTCTCCTCTCTCTCTCCCTGTTCCTCTCCCTCACTCTCTCCTTCACTGGAGTCCTCCTCATCTTTGCTACACAGCACACGTGGCACGACAAATGGTCTCCTGTGAAGTGAATAATTTAATATGTACTACCTCCATCATCATAAATACATTCCCCCTGTATCAGCACAGAGGACAAACAAATACTTTTTCAATATCAAATTGCATACTGCAGAGTGAAAATGGATTGTATGAAGCAGGACTAAGGGAATGTACGGTGGTTTACTGGACTCTACATTATCCACTTACTGACAAATCAAACACTACAGGCTATGCCAGGCTGTTTCATTTAAAATAGTATTAGAAATCAACATAAAAAGTAAGAACTACTAAAAATCAAGTATTCTAGATATCTGTGCCAACTCTTCACATACATATGAATTAAATGAAATATAAAATGAGTCTCAAAGTAGGCTTAGTGGCCACACGCCATCAAAGAATGTGGAACGCAACTTCCTTATCAGGCTGATTAATTTACTGGCAGGGAAATGTTGTTAACTATACAGGTAAACCCGAACTTTCTTTTCTTTGAAATGTGTTTATAAGTTGAATGTTTGTAAGTGTGGAGTTCTGTGTTCATTAAATGAACTGGGAGTAGCAATTTATTAGTCCATGCAATGTTTGTAAATATTAATTTTTTTGTTTCTTGAAAGTTCATTAAATAGAGATTTGTCTGTATTGTCTGTACATTCCTGGTACTCATTTCTGTTAGAGGCTGAGTTGACCCCAGGGCCATAGTGCGGCTGGATGGATTAGGTCAATTGAAAAAAAAATCCAGCGACCTCATTGGGACTTGAACTTGCAACCTTCCGGCTTGTAGCATAGTGCCTCAACCAACTTCACTACTGCATATTCTTGGAATATTCTTGGGGGGTAAAGGGTGGCCAGTGCATAAGGCTGACAACCTTGCTGCCATCTATGAGCCGATTGTGTAGAAAATGTGAGAACCTCAACATCTCACAACCCTATGGGCCTCCACAGCCTGTTACAGGGATACCTTTACTTTAGTTTTCAACTTTATATATAGTCAGGTTTCATGTAAGTCACATGTGACCAATAAAAATAGATATAAATATTTTGGAATTGTAATGGGGAAACCTGGTGAATAGCAGCCATTTGGAAGACCACAGCAAAGATCGTGGGATAATATTAAACTGAATCTTTCAGAAATAGGCCACGAGGATATATATACTGAACTGCCACATAAGGATGCTCAATTGTAGGCTCTGATCTTAGCAATACTGAACTTCCAGCTTCTTTATATGCCTGCCACAATAAAATCCACATTTAGTATTTATCTGGGGCCAGTGGATTGGAACATAAAATTCAGGGAAGCTTTAAACAGGTGTGACAGAAGGGATGGCATTACTGAAATGAAATGATAAATGAGGGAAATACGAAGATCAACAAACACTGAATGGGGTTTGCACTGTAGTTACAACATAAAATATCTGATGGCTTAATACATTTTACAAAATAAAAGTAATATAACTAGAAGAAGACAATGGCACAGACTGATATGATGCCTGAACAGATAACAGAATTATAAGACTTCATCATTCTCAGATAAGAGCAAGTAATAACAATGGTTGCATGTCTGTTTTACTTCTTTAATTCTTACCTCTCCAGATCACCTTCGTCTCCAACCGATACATCCAAGTGATCATACGTGTCATCATATTCATCATCATACATGCTCCCTTCAGTGTCAATTACGCCAAATTTGGCGTACATGTCACGGAACTCTGCTCGATGAGATTTATCATCTATTAACTCAATCAAGTTCTTATGTTTTCCTTTCCTATAGAACATAAAAATATAACATATTATGCAGACTGGATCTTAGCATCATGAAATGGAAAGATCAATTATAATTGTCTTCATAAACCAATTGCTAACCTCTCATGCTTTCTGAAAAGCACATATTATGCTGGGATCAACATTTTTAATAACCTGCCATCTGATCTCAAAGGTCTTATGAATGAAAAGGCACGATTTAAAATAGCACTGAAACGATACTTAAATACACATTCATTCCACTCTGCTGATGAATGCCTACTGTCTAGAAAATAACTTGTGTATCTTTAAATAGCCTTGTGTGTAGTCACTGTGTATTTTGGTTTCTCTTGTGTGAGAACTCCATTGGGTCTGTACATATGTTTTGTATTTATATGACATATTCCCGAAACATGTTGTGTCGAGGAAGGGAAGAATAAAAGAACTACAATTAAATTGTTGCACTTAAGACGGAGTTTGTCTCATATATATTGTTTAATTTGAAGCCTCACATAAAGGAGATGTTTAATCTTCACTCCATATAATGCATGCATGGGAAGAAACTAACATGTGAATGTGTATGTATATGAGTCAGGATAGCAACCGGCAACAGGCTGGATGACTGAGGGGTTGGAGTCCAAGTCCCAGTGGGGGCAGGAATTTTCACTTCTCCGTTTCATCCAGACTGGCTCTGGGGCCCACCCAGCCTCCTATCTAACGGGTACAGGGGTTTCCTTCTCTGGGGGTGAAAGCTGACCACTCACCTCAAACAAGTGCTGAGGTCAAGAAAACACGGGTCTATACATCCACTCCTCCATACGCCTTCATGGTGCAGTGCTTAATTAGTTAAACTCAGGGACAACTTCACCATTTTTATGTGTATACATAGGGCAGTCAAAAAGTTCCCGGAATTCCCCTGCAGGCGGAGAACGATGGATAAGATAGTGCACACATTGTTGTGGTGGGAAGCTCAGCATGTTTGCTCGCAGACACAACAGGTCTGGAGACAGGTTTCAGTGTGCAGTGTCGTTACTGTTCCGTTTGAATTAGACGTGAGTGTTGGTCATTCGGCGGAATGTCACAGTTCGAAAAGCGTGCGAACATAAAGTTCATGTGCAAATTGGGAATCTGCTTCAGAGACACTATTGGCCCTGCAGCAAGTTTACAGTGATACTGCACTAAAGAAATCCGCAGTTTACAACTGGTTTTCCCAGTTTAAGAATGGACAGGAGAGGTTAGAGGATGACCAGTGCAGCGGGAGACCTTCAACATCCAGAATCGAAGAAATTACTGGAAAAGTGTGACAACTGATTTGATGTGATTGTAGAATGACCATCATGGAGTTGGATCAAGAAGTTGGTACTGTTACTGACCATTTCTACATGCAAGTTTTGCAGAGGTTGCGTGATGCAGTTCGGAGGAAGCGGTGCGACAAGTGGCAGGGACAGCGGTTTCTGCATCACAATAATGCACCGAGCCACACATTGCTTATTGTGCAGCAATTCCTCGCTGAGAAAAACATTCCTGTCATCGCTCAACCACCGCACTCTCCAGATCTTGCTCCGAGTGACTTCTGGCTGTTCCCTACTCTGAATATCGGTCTCAAGGGGATACGTTCCTCAACCATGGAGGACATCAAACACGACGGCTGAGATCCGAAAGATTCCAAAAGAAGCCTTCCACCACTGCTTCCAACAATGGCAGGATCGATGGAGTAAGTGTGTGTGCACACAAGGGTCCTACTGTGAAGGTGATTAGCTAAGTGTTGCCATATGCCTATCATTAGAGTGTTATACCACCATTCCGGGAACTTTTTGACTGCCTCTTGTAATATGACATGCAAAGTCACCTCTTTCCTTTGTGAATTCTAGATGTATCCACTTGATCTTGGGTCATGATGTCAAACTCATCATTATCAAATATATTGAGTCGCTGGGAAGCATTAGCTGTCTCATCTGCTACCTGTGCAGCAATATATACATCATGGTTATTAATGACATATTTTTAATAGCATTTTCAGGTACAAACTTAGTTATAAGACGACATAAAATAATACACAGAAGTTCTTCTGGGATATGGTTAGATGGTTAGATAGTTTTTTATATGGTTAACAATTATTTTGAAGAACCTGCTGTCTCCATTCTGAACCTTTAAACCTCCATCTATTTCAATATTACTCATAATGCATTACTTCATGACTGAAAAACATGGCACATTAAGATTTTAAAAAGTTACCATCTATGAAATCCATAATTTGTATACAATACTGATTAAAGGAGAAATTCATGCAAGAAACAGTAATTATGTGAAATATGTTTAGAGTTTCATTCTGTAATGATTTGGGGCACACTACGAGACAGCGGGACCTGACACCGTGCAGTCTGGCAGACAGGCACCAAAGTTTCACAGGAATATTCAGTGGCAGAGTGATAACAGCATTTAGAAGGAATCATTCTCCTATCCCAGAGTTGGAAGTAGCAGGGTCATCCAAGAATCACATCTCACAAGATCATAATTTGGGGCACCTTAGTTACAAGATCAGACTTCTCCTTAACTGCAAGTCACCAAAAGAGATAAGACTAATTTCTCGTTCATAATCATTCTATCATTTGACACTACATAACCTCTGCAAATGAAGAAATGTTATTAAATAACTCAAGAATTATTCAATCAAGCACCCAACACACACACTTCATAGTACCAATTCAACTGGCTAGTATTATCTGATGTTCTGTGCTTAGTTACATAAATACAATATTCTGCACGAAACAGGTGCAAAAACAACCCCTCCCACACTCCCCATTAGCCTATTCCTGGCTGTACCTGACTTGCTATTAAATACATTTATAATTATCCTCCACATCTAGAGATCACCTTCAACAGTATATGAGAATTTGATCAGAAAAATTACTGTTTTATTCGTAGGTTACTTACTGATGCTATTTTAACTATATAGATTATGAAAGGTAAGGTAAATGTATCCCTGTAACAGGCCGTGGAGGCCCACGGTTGTGAGATGTCGAGGATCCCACATTTTCTAGACAATCAGCTCACAGATAATGGTGAGGTTGTACGCCTTAT